GAACTCCTGGGCTCAAGCAGTTCTCCTGCCTCAGCCTCCTAAAGTGCTGGGATTACAGGGGTGAGCCACCATGCTAGGTCTGCTTTGTCTTTGTAAGTTAATAAACTCTGGTACTTTAGACCTGGGTCCCCAACCCCTGGGGCCATAGACCAGTACTGTTAGGACCAGGCGAGTGAGTGAAGCTTCATCTCTATTTACAGCCACTCCCCATTGCTGGCATCACCACATAAACTCCAACTCCTGTAAGATCAGCCACGGCATTAGATTCTTGTAGGAGCTCGAACCCTACTGTAAACTGCTCATGTGAGAGATCTGGGTTGCATGCTTCTTATGAGAATCTAATGCCTGATGATCTGAGGTGGAGCTGAGGTGGTGATGCTTATCACTGCGGAGTGGCTGCAAATCCAGATTATAATTAGCAGAGAGGTTTGACTGCCCAATAAGTGTAACGTGCTTGAAACCATCCCTCCCACCCCGTAGTCTGTGGAAAACTTGTTTTCCACGAAACTGGTCCTTGGTGCCGAAAAGGTTGGGGACCACTGCCTTAGACCACCACTCAGATATAATGAGAAAATACTGTTAAACTGTTTCCCAGACTCACTCCAAAGTACTGTCTTAATATTATGTACTTGTAGAGATGTTTACACTAATGTTGGTTTCAAAGTTTGTGAAACATTGGGGGTTAGCAAACTTTTTTTGTAAAGATCAAGATTGTAAATATTTTAGGCTTTGGGGGCCATGTGATCTTCACAACTGCTCAGTTCTGCTGTTGTAGCAAGAAAGTAGCCATAGGTGATACATAAACAAATTGGTGTGATTGTATTCCAATAAAGCTACATTTACAAAACAGGTGTTGCAGGCCATAGTTTGTTGACACCCTGTTTTAGATATTAATAATTGCAGAAAGTCATAAAATAATAGTTAACAGCAAAAATTGATGCTAGCTCAAAACATGTTCCTTAAAATATACCAATTTTCTTGTTAGGAATTAAACATGGGCCAGCGATGTTCAGATACTAGAGGAATTGTCTTCGAAGATGTAAGAGTGCCTAAAGAAAATGTTTTAATTGGTGAGGGAGCTGGTTTCAAAATTGCAATGGGAGCTTTTGATAAAACCAGACCTACAGTAAGTAACATGAGTTGATAATCTTTATAGGATCTTTTATTTATTACATTAAATTAGTAGTTTTAACATTGTATTTTTGGTGTGCTTTGCTTTTTAAATCTATTAAAATTGCTGTGCTTATTAAGCGTGGAGGAGAAAACTATTGCTTTATTTTTTAGAATTCTTCAACTTTCCTGCCCATTATGGAAATTATTTTAGCAAGTGCAAAGTTACTACACTTGCTGCTAGATTTACAGAGAGGGAATCCACACTTGATTTGATCATTCTGTTGATACGTACTCATTTCCTGTTCCTTCTTCACTCATTAAGAATATTTCCCCTAGGAAGGTTTTCCTTGTTAAACAGAAGGAATGACATTTCTCTAGCCTATGATCCTTTGCCTAACGAATGCCTCTCCATTACCTTTAATTCACAAATAATATAAATTTAAGTGCCTGTCTTCCCACCCCCATTCACTTGTTGCTATAGGTCACTTTCTCTTTGTGTAATCCTGAATTTAGAATCTTAGGCAGATAGCTATATACTGTGTGTTTTAAAGACAATATGAACTTATTACTCTTTATAAAATGTTAAAATATTAGGTAGCAGCTGCTGCTGTTGGTTTAGCACAGAGAGCTTTGGATGAAGCTACCAAGTATGCCCTGGAAAGGAACACTTTTGGAAAGCCACTTGTAGAGGTAATTTTAATACTGTGCTTGCTTTGTTACAATGTAAAGATATTTGTTTTCATCTAAATATTTAGAAATTATTTTTAAAGTACAGACTAATCTATTTCTACTTTGGTAGCAAGAAGATAATGTGGTTTTAACAAGATGGGTTTCAAGAATAGATTTTTCTTTAGACTTTGCCACTAACTATTGGTCACTGGTATACCTGACACTGTGGTGCTATACATTCTAAATATATTTTCTAATTCTCTCAGTAACCCTTTTTTAGCTAGTGTTATCATCTCTGTTAAATATCAGGAAACTGAGGTTCAGAGACATTAATTAATTTATAAAAGGTCACACAGATTGTAAGTCACAGATCCAGGATTCGATTTAATGCTCCTAATCTGTGTTACCTCCCATGACTTTTTTTTTTT